CTGAGGGAGCAAATGTGTGTTGTTCTCTTGGAAACCGAACTCTCCCACCGCACCCCCCCCCCCCCCCACAGTACTGCTGTGCACTCCATCTACCTGGGAAAGTCTGTTAAAGGGAAAATATAATACAGTCATTTATAGGTGGCCCTAAGCCTGAGGCCCGAGCCTGGGGAATTTAGGGAAATGTCTTCAGTTTGTGTGGTGACTCCATTTTCCTCAGGAGGACCTTTTGTAGAAAAAAGTACCCATCTGAGATTCTATCTGCCCCAGATCCAAGGGGGCAATACTAACCAGGTGCTGATCCTCTGAGACATCCAGAATGGCAAGTCCCATGGTCATTCCTGTCTGAGCTCTCTCCTCTTCCATAGAGCCCATTTTGGGAGCTGGGCCCTGAGCCCAAGGGCGCTTGGGGTAGAATGGTGAGTACGCAGCCAAAATGGTCTGGCTGGTGTTGCATGGCAGATGGGAGGTACGCTCTTGAGTCAACCAAGCCCTGAACCCTCGGTGTCTATAGCCTGCCCAACCACTATATCCTCTTGGGCTCCCATCATAATTGCTCCTTACTCAGTGGCACTTCCTCCTCTGGCCAGGTCACTTCCAATGCTGGGCACCGCTTAGCTGGTGGGAGCGCTGGGGGCCAGGAGGTACATGGGTCCTTTGAGATCCCAATTAAGTCCGTGGCAGCTGTGATAGTCTGAGGTGCAGATGTGGCTCTGGCCAAGAGAGTGACGACATGGACACACAGAAGCAGGACCCACCAAGAACTGGGGTCTGAGGAAAGGTCGGTCAGGTCAGCAGCTGACTGAGCTGGCTATACTAGCTCCTATCTTGACCAGAGAGGAGTTGCCATCCAAGTAAGAATTAACTCTAGCCCAGATTCCTGGGCTCTAACCAGGAATCAAAGCTGGCAGAGGCCCCTCAGTCCCCACCTTTTAGCCGAATGCAGCACAGAGAAGCCTTGGAATGGAGCCAGAGCCACTGTAGCTAAATAGAGGCTGTGAGCAATTCGTCAGGTTGGACAGAGAACTCGCCTCGAGGTGCAAGTCAAGTTAGCCATACTGCTCCATTCTGTTAGGACGCACCTGCACCCACCCATGTCCCTCAGCCCCATGTCCCACCTGGTGTCCAGTTGTGTCTCATGGTCATGATGCATGTGTCAGGAGCTGGCAAGTCTGGCTCTATTTATCTGTAACTTCCTCTGGGGGAAGGTCAGTAAAGGTCAGCCACTGTTACAAGCCTTTGCTTCCTCCAGTCAACTAGTGTTCAAGGGGAGAGTGTTCCTAGATACTAGGTATCCCAAACTGAATCATAACCTTTTTAGGCTCAGTGCCACACGGTGGCCCATCGACATCCTATCCTTTCTCAAGCTCCCTACTTCCCCCAGCTAGCTGTATTCTTCAACACTGTCCTTTCACATCCACAGACTCCCACTGTATCCTTTGAGGCTCTGGGTAGTCCGGAAGCTTCCAGCACAAGCTGTGCTGTCAGTGGGCGCTGCTGTGCCATTATGCAAACACTTCCTCTCATCCCAGCTTTTCTTTTTTTCCATCCCTGCTCTTCATACTTAACAGAATAGTTCCCCAATCCAATATTCCTGCTCTGTTAGGGGAGAAAGGCACAGAGGGGCCAGGGACTTACCTAGGAGTCACAAAGGGAAACAGCACTCTCCCTGCTGACAGAACTGGTTCTGGGAAGGGCAGGAATAGTCAACTTCTGGGAAAACTCCCAATCACAATTTCACTTTCACTTTTGTTCTAACTAGGAATCCCAATCCCCAATCAGGCAGCTCTGCCCCCTTGAGCCAGTGCTCACTGTGGACAGAACTCCCAGTCCCTGCTCTCCAAATACCCACAGGGATGGGCTGTCCACCCGGCTCACCCAGGGTCACCTAAGGTATGAGCTAGATCTAGGCTCTCACAGGTCACTTGGGCTAAGGGTCAAAACTGTTGTCCCTTCGGTTCTTCACAGGCAGCTTTGAGTCCATAGAAGCCTTTGCTTCCTCCAGTCACTTCAGTATTCAAGGGGACAATATACCTAGGTACCAGGTTCCCCAAATTGAATCACTATGACCTCAGTGCCACACTGGTTCATCGAAATCCCAGCCTTTCTCAGGCTCCCCACTTCCCCCAGCTAGCTGTATCATTCAACACTGCCACACCCACAGACCCCCTTGTGTCTCTCATCCCAGTCCCTTCAGCCACAGGTATACCTTCCACACTCAATCGGCTGAACTCTGGGGCGGCCTAACCAGTGCAGGTTCACTAGTTAAGTCTAGATCACCCTACCTGGTTCTCAAGTCCTGAAAGGCTTTCTAGGAGCTCCAAGGCTCAGTGTGGCCCCAAATACCTCACCACAGGAAACAGAGCCACTTCTGCTTGGCCTGTAGAACTCTACCAGCTGGGACTGAGGAGTGCTGACCCTGAATGGCCAGGAAGGCACTTTCCCAGCACTGGCTCCAACAGCTCAGGGGTTGGTCTACGGCAGGAGCAAAACTAGGGTCAGACAAATCAATGTAGCCACATTGAGTGTCATGATAGAAACTCCGGAGGCAGAATGAGTTCTGTGGATTCTATTCTATGCATTATCAAGTGTGGACAAGAGCCATGTCTGTTCCAGATATCTGTAGTCAGGAGGAAAGAGATGGTGATAACAGCCAAGGGGATGAATGGAGCTTGGATGCACCCAGAACATAAAAGTCATAGCTGATTTAGATACAGGAGACTAAAAGCCACATCTCTGCTACACATTTAACTCACATTTCTGTTCTGAGCAACTCCACCTACCTCTTGCCTGAGAATGCAGACTAAAACTCCCTCCGAGACCTAGGTTCACAGGTTAGGCCACCCCAGGGTTGAAGACAATCCACTGGGGGATGGGAGCAGGTGCAGAGAGGAACTGGGCTCCTAAGACCAGAAGTGGCCCCAAAAGGTGGGACTTGGGACTGTTAAGCATGAAAACAGCCTTGGCCTTGTGGGGTGGGGGAGTGAAAGGAGTGCTCTCTGGGCCTTTGACTAGCTCCCATTACCCTGAGGATGGACCCACAGGTGGCATAGGAAGTGGGGTGCTACAGGAAGCTGCAGCTAGGCAAGAGAAGCTGAGGTTTACAGTGGCAGGGGTGGTAGGGTACTGATCTCGGGCAGTAAGAATAGAGAGTCACCTTGGTTTGAAAGGGCCTTATGGGAGGGCAGTACCAACAAATCCAGGCCCCAGCTATTAGCTGGGGGGCAGTAGAGTCAAGACAGTCCAGGGGAGAGGGGACCCCCAGGAAAGAGGTGGTTTAAAAAAAAAAAAAAAAAAAAAAAAAAAAAAAAAGCAGATGGATAGTCAGCTTTCCAGCCCAGCTCATGGAGCTTTATTCAGATGGAGTGACAAGATCCTGTTTGGTACTTGTTGCCCCAGGGGGCTAGGCCACATTTCCCTAGGAACCCAGTACTGCAAGCCCACGCCTTCCCACTTCACCAAACCCTTAGGACTAAGGCTAGGCCTGCCCAGAAGCCCTCTTTTCAGAATTCATATTCACCCAGGCCTTCCTCTTCCTACCCATCCAATGTTCCTACTGTTAGGCCCAGGAAGGGCCCACAAAGGACCAAGCCCACACAGGGTGTTCCCCAGGCAGGGAATCCCCTGCTAGCTTCAGGGTCACACTGTCTTGATGACTGGCAGAAACCAGCACCTATCAGTGTTTCTGCTAGTTGCAGATACAAGCAGACACTCTTAGGCTTTCAGAAAGTACTGTGCAGAGTGGCCTTTGGCACATGTCACCACTTCTGGGCTGAAGAGTCCACTTGCATAAGAGGCTGCAACATACATTGCTACCCACAGTAGCCTCCACAGCCCAGCTATAGATGGTCTCTAGTCCTCCCTGGCAACAGTCCTGCTCAGGGCAATTATCCATGCTCCTCGTTCTTCTAGTAATCCTAAAGCACATTCTTAGGGAATTGTGAGGCCACAGGCCTTCGCGAGTTGGAAAAGTCATCAACGAGGTTCCATTTGCCAAATCAAGCAGTCACATACAATACCCACTGTATGTCCTAAACACAGCTGGAGGGAAGACCCTTTACAGTGCTCATCTGTGGCACTAGTCTGAGCTCTTCCATTGACTGTACCAGGCTTGAGCCCTGCAGAGGGAAGGGAAGGGGAATGGGTGGACTGCGAGGTGCACAGCTACCTGACAACCCACCAGCACTCTCCACCAGAGGTGAGAAGACTCCTTTTAAACCAAAAACATCATGGCTCTGCCCATACCCTCCTCAAGCAGAGTAAGGCCTGGAGGGGGGCTACTCCTATGCTCCGCAATAAAAAAGGTTTTTAAATATATTCATCAAAATAATTTTCTTTTAAAAAGCCCCCCACTGCTGACAGCCCCACTGGCTGGTTCTTGATCATTTCCCTCCCCAACCCAGACAAAGCCGGAGAGGTCCTGAGTGGCCCAAGCGCCCCTTTGAGTCTTTCCCACCCAGGTCTTCGTAGGCAGCGAGGAGTGCCCTGAGGTCCATGACAGGTGGGGTGGATTCTCCACAGATGCACTTCCTGATTACTCCAGGCCCAGGATGTAGTTGATACCTTGCACCAGGCCAATGATGACAGGCTGCCAGGCTACCAAGTACCGAAGCCAGTCTAGCAGCTGTCCATACATGACGTGAGGCCTCTCCCAGCTGTCAGGGTGTTAAGGAGCAAAGGCTACATGCAAGAGCTGTTAGGTTCATCCAGCGTGGTCAGGAGGCCTTCCCTGGCTCTGCTCTACAGCTGAGAGAAAATAAAGCTACCCAGATTCTCATCAGCTCTCCATGTTGGAATGAAGGCTGAACCCAGAGAACAGGGATAAGAGCAGAGGCTGACATGAGGGGGAGAGGGAAGACAGCGCTCCACAACAGCATCCAGGCAGGGCCTCCACGCACCACTTTCTCAGAGATGAGAATGAGACTCTGTGAGAAAACAGCTTGAGATTTACAGACAACCTAGAAACCTACTAGGAAAATGGTAACTCTACCACAGAGTTATACTCCTAGCACCCAGAAATTCTTCCAATGTAGAAAATTCAAGTTTTTCTCTCCACGAAGAGGTTGGGTCTAGGGCAAAGCCAGAAAGGAAAAAGACCCAAGAGGCTGATCACATGGGGCTCACCCCTGGCAGAGACTTGAGGGAGGCCCTGCTGAGGTCAAACGGTCCTGTTGAGTGTTCCTTTCCTCTTATTTCACATCTAAATATAGGGCATGGGGTCTGAGGAAGGAGAGTGTGCCTGGGAAGCCCAGCTCGGAGGAGGAAAACTCAGGAAGTTCATAAATGAAATGGTTGTTGGGGAAGGGCCCTTGAAAGGCACCAGAAATAGCAGTTTGGCCCAGGTCTCTAAGAGCTACAGGAAGCCTCAAGTTTCAGCAAAGTCAGATAATCATAACTGTTCTGGGACAGGACCCCGAGGAACCATGTAGGACACTGGAAAGGGGAGAGTTCAGTCTCCTGTTCAGACTGGGACAGTATCCTAGGAACATCATGTCCCCTAAACAGCCCCATTAGTGTATAGGGAAGAGGGGACAGGGAACCACAGAGCAGAAATGCAGCTAGGGGAAGAGAGGGGACAAGGCTAGGTCCCTGGATCCCACAGGAAGTGAACGTGGAACCAAAGAAGTAGCTGGGTAGGAAGGGGTAGCTCCAAAGAAAATGGGTCTGTATTGCAAGTGGATGGGGATGAGGTCACCTCAATCCATAGGTTCCTTCAGACCCTGCCCAGGCAGAGGTGGTCTATTGTAGCATGCCAGGGATAAGGCATCTCATTAGTAACCAGGAGCCTTACTGACCTTCTGAAAGTTTCCAGGGAATCAAATGAGCTGATACAAGTGGAGAACTTGGGGGCGGGGGGCAAGTGGAGAACTTGCCAGTGGACAGCAAGCCAGTGGTAGCTACTATCACCAGCAGTTTATGGTGAGAGGCTGAGCTGCTGGCCTGTCTCACATCACACCTCATTTCCCTAGAACATAAGCCAAATTGAATGATGAGCACATTCCAGGTTGGGGGTAGGAGGGAGGGCCCAAAAGGACCCAAACACTTGGTCACACTGACAGTACGTTCTTCCCACCACCCAGTCCATCAAGGACCCAAACAAAGGATACGGATTGCTGAACATCCTCTTCAGGTCTACCTTCTCTTTGCAGTAGGGACATGTCTGCTTCTTTCCCACAATGCACCAGCCACGGATACAGAACTCATGGAATCTGAGCACCAGTGGTCAAGGGAAGTGACAGGAAGCTAAATTGGCTTAGTACCATGCATGACTTCAAGGTGCCCATGTACCAGCTTTGGAGAAAGGTTTAAATCTCGGTTTAATTTCTTACCAGCTGTACAATCTAGGACAGATCCCTTCTCTGTGAAACCGTTTCTTTACCAGGGAGTGAGGGTAATGATCCTTAGCTTACAGGGTTGTTATAAGCCAAGAATGGGAGCCTAATAAATATATTAGCAATATAAGAAACGTGGCTCTCGGTAGGGGATCTGATTCTAAAGGGAAGGATTCCATTAGAGTCTGCCCCTGTGATGTGCAGCAGCTTGAGGAGCCTCACTAGCTGCAGCCTCTGGTTCTTTGTCTCAGGCAGTCCATACCCACCTTTTACATGAGGGCAGTCCAGACTGGGGGAAAGGGTGAGAAACTGCAGTTTCTCGTGTGGCTCTCCTATACTCCAACTCTGGGCACCACACCCATGGTCACCACCCTCTTCCCTCCCTGACTGGAATGTGGTCTCAGGAGAGATGCAGCACAAGGCAGGATACACATGATTACAGGAAAGCCTGTATGTGTTCTCAATGATGCCTTCCTCACTGACGTCCACAAAGATCTGCTGCCCACACACAGCACACACGCTGTCGGAAAGGTGTTTGGTAGGCATGCCCGACTCACTGTAGAACTAGAGGGAGAGGAGGGCAGGAAAACTGTGAGAATTTGTAAGGGAAGATGAGGATTGGGGCTTCTGGAGGGGAGGCAAAGTGGCAGGGGAGCTACAGGACAACTTGTAGGATATAAATGCAGCTCGATTTTGCTGGGCCAATGGGGAGAAAGAAATTGAGATACAACAGAACCCAAAAGCTGAGCCGGTCAGTTCCAAGGACAGAGGGAATGGAAGGAGGACTCCAAGCTGAGAAACAGGAACTGTGCCCATAAGCTATTCTGTCATCAAGACTATGTCTCTACCAGACAGACAATAACACTACCCAACATTCAGAAGAGCGTGATGGCAGTCTGGAGACACTTGAGACAGCAGCAGAAGAGGTTCAATCCCTGTGAACAGCATTTGGCAGGATGCCTCAGTCCCACCCTTTAACCCATTAGTTTTACCTCAAGGAATTAAGTAAACAACAACAAAAAAAGCCTTGTGCACACAGATATCCATTTCTGGATTGTTCATAATTGAAGCAAAGACTTCTGTATTTCTTCAGAATGCTAAACAGAATTACTATATGATCTTTGCCATTCCTAGTTATGTATCCCAAAGAAGTGAAAACAAGAACTAACCAACATCTGAACACCAGAGTTCACAGTGACATAATTTACAGCAGTGTAAAAGTGAAACAACTGGGCTGGAGAGATGGCTCAGCGGTTAAGAGCACTGACTACTCTTGCAGAGGACCCGGGTTCGATTCCCAGCACCTACATGGCGGCTAACAACCGTCCTTAACTCCAGTTCCAGGGGAATCTGAAGCCCTCTTCTGACCTCCATGGCTTTGTACGACACAGGTGCACTCACATACATGCAGGCAATACATGTATGTATTATAAAAATAATATAATATATACATAAAAAAATGAAACAACCCAAATGTTCAACAGAGCAATGGATGAACAAAATGTGGAGTGACCTCATGGTACAATAATGCAATATGTGACTCCAAAATGTGGTGTATACACACAATAGAATAGCCACGAAAAGGAATGATGCATTAATAAATGTTACACATTGATGAGCTTTGAAAAATACTATATAAAGTGATCGAGGCTGGAGAGATGGCTCAGTGGCTAAGAACACTGGCTGCTCTTGCAGGGAACCTGGGTTCAAATTCCACCACCCACATGGGCTGCTAACAACCATCTGTACTCCAGTTCCAAGGGATCCAACGCCCGCTTTCATCTTCTATGGGCACGGCATGACACAAGTGCACTTACATACATGCAGGTATAACACTCATACACATAAAAAATAACTGGGTGTGATGGTGCACACCTTTAATCCAGCACTCAGGAGGCAGAGGCAGGTGGATCTGTGTGAGTTCAAGGCCAACCTGGTCTACATAGC